CCATCAGTCCAGTACCTCTCCATCCTCTCAGTCCTTAATGTGCACTTCCGTTTCATCCTTCCGTTCATTTTCTCCTTTGAGCACTAATTATACATTATCCAAATCTCTTGGGCTGCAGATTCAACACTCCAGACAAACTGATTTCTATTTCAAGAATCTGCTTATCTCCCAGCAGGAGCCTCTTCGTATTCAGAGGCCTATAGGGCCAATTTCAGGGACCCCAAGGAAGGAGATTCTTTCTGCTACTTTCCCTATAAAGTAGGTCACCATCAAATGGGCTGAACCAAGCCTCTTGCTATGTCTTTGTGTGGACTGGCAGAAGGCCAGTCCAGGAGATGTGGGGATGTACAAGGCTGGAAAGCCCAGCCTGGGGGTGAAGCACTGGCCACCAGGATGATTCTGAGTACAACACATAGGACCCAGCCCCATCCCTCCCGCCTGCCTCCTCTAGAGGAGTGACACTGAACTTCAGGTCCTCTCGGCCTCCAGTCATCAGGAGCCTAATTTCAACTTGCTACTGTCTTCTGAGGGGTTGTCAGGGAGGATGAATTGGCTGAGGAGGGCAGAAAACAGACCTGGAAACTATAATTCTGACACTTCATCAACTTGGGTCATTCATTCTGATGCTAGGCTTCCATTTCTTCATCTTTTTCTGGTTTGCCACACAACACTGAGATGATCACACTAGGTAGCAGCCAGCCATGTGCTTTGCAATACACTGGCCTGTATGAAGGGTGAGGGCTGGAGAACATGGAGATCTGGAGGATTTAGTGAAACCCTTCTTTTCTAGCAGGGTATGTTGGGGATGTGCACATAATGCACATGTATTGTCTTTTTCTGGTAGCTTCTATTCTTCCCTCCTTTGGGGATTCAGCTTTCCTGCTCTCTGTGGTTCTGTGAGGCGACTGATGACAGGATCCTGCCTTCTGACCAAGGTCTTCAAGGGGGAGCATGATGTGTCCTTCCACTTGGAAAACATCTCTTCCCCAGAGAAGGAGACCTTAATGTGTCTACTGGAAAGGAAACACTGATCAGGCTTTACCCATTCCTTTGGACTTTCTCTTGCATGAGCTATGTGCAGGAAGCCTGTCTTCTGTTGTACAAGAGCAGAGCAACCTTGGTCCCACCCTACTGGGTGCTTCTATTTCTAAATTCTATATGTAGAGTCAAACTGGCTCACATCACATGCTCCAGTAGAAGACTTATTATCCATAACAAAGATGATAGACTGGTCTCCATTGAGCTTATTCCTTTGTCTTCTCCTCAATTGGTTCAGAAGCCAGGAGGAGGTGAATGATATCTTTTTAAATCATGAAGGTTGGATTGTGAAAAATAAACAAGATTTTTAGGCAGTGATGGGGAGAAAGGGGGCAGTGATGGACAGTGATGGGGAGTGAGGCATGTTCTAGCTGACAGAGTGAGCAAAGGCAAAAAGGTTCACATGCTCAAGGAATGTTTAGAGACGAGTCAAGTGTAATTTGACTTAAACATACCACATATGTAGTTGAGTAGGAGACAAAGTAGGCTGAGGTCAGCTCTTGATGGATCTTGAATTTCAGATAAGAAATTTTGATTGTGACTTTTAGAATGTGGAAATATGAAGACACTGAGCAATGTGAAACAGAGGGATGACATGGGGAGGGTAGACGAGTTGCAGATAAGACATTAAATAAGGTTTCAGCTCTGCCACCTTCATCTCTCCTCTACCTCCCACACTGTTCTCCTGAACTAACCAATATTAATAGCAGGGTATTTTTTCACACCTTTCTTCTTGCTTACACAAACAAGTACAAGCAATCCTTGTACCTATTACTTCCTTTTTTAGAAAATCTAATGTGATTATACCATTAAAAACTTTGTAACTTGCTTCTTTCACTTTTATAGTGCACTCAATAAAAACAGAACCCCTGGGTTCTGAATCAGCAGCAGGGGGACTTATGAGGGTGGCTGCTATGTGTGACTGTGCAGGCATGATGCAGTGGTGGTCATTACTGGGATGGCCCAGCCCTACTTAAGTCAGTTTTGCTTTTCATGGTTGCATTTTAATCCAGGTATGATCTCCCATAATACATTCAACCAATTTACCGATTGATGGCTATTCAGGCTACTTCAAGTTTTTGCCAATACAAAAAACAGTGTAATAAATATCCTTAAAGTTTACTCATGTATTGCTTTAACAACTTTTTTAGAATAAATGCATGTTCAAAAGCAATACTTGTGTTAAAGAGCAACCCCATTTAAATTTTTAATAAGCATTTCCAGATTACTTTCAAAAAATGTAGCAATTAATTCCCACGGCCATGTGCCCTCCTCTGATAACAAAAATTAAGAGCTCTAATGATAGCAGGTGTCAGAAAAGTATCCACTAACTGAATCTCATATACTTTGCTGGTAGATATGCTGATGGTAAGACCCTTTTGGCAAGTAGTTTAACATTAGCTTATAAAGTAGTAGATTACATACCTAGTAACCTTACAATTTCATTTTAGATGTATACATTAAAAGAATGGTTTCAATTCTATATCCAGAAACTCAAACAATAATATTCCAGCATCATTCATATTAACAAATACAATATGAAAACCAGAAACCACAAAATTCCTTTGAATAGATATTGGATATATCAGTTGTGGCTTTGCCACACATAGCAATAAAAATGAATGAAATATAACTACATGCTATAGTACAGTACACACATATGATATATAACACATACTATATATGCATGTATAAAATAATGTGTGAAAAAGTAATATCTGGAAGAATATTATTACTAATGTTAAAAAACTGTACTTAAAATAAATTTATTAAGGGAAGAATAGAGAAGCAGTTAAGTGCAAGGAGGAAGCAAGATCAGATAAAGGAACACATAGCAGATGTAAGGTACTGTCATGATCTAGTTCTTTGAAGTGGTTCATCAGTGTCAGCCATTTTATAAATAGATGATAGTTCATTAACTAACTAATTAATCAAAAGAGCGTACATTAGGAAGCAAGGCTTAAAAAGGAAAAAAAAAAAAACATCAAAATGAAACAAATGTCAAGGAATAAGGAATAAGAATTCAGCCCCGGGGCCAGGTTTCTGTCTGATAACAAGATTGATGTTTTCAGTCTCAGGATGCTTGGGTTTAGGGTGAGGGAGTAGGGATGTTGACACATTCATTACAGAGTCCCTGCAGAAACCTGGGTTGCTTGTAACGAAGAACAGCATGGTTTCCATTCCAGATAGTTCTCTGTGTACCAATGTTACCAGGCTCCACCATCCTGAAGATCTAAGAAATGATTGGTATCGTCCTCTCTCATGTATTTCATTCTTTGGGGAAAAACAGTGTCTGGAAATACGGCTCTCGCCTTGGAGTGATACACCACAGCTTGAGCTGAATCAGTACCACCACACAGCCACACACTTACATTTGGGATTCAGCCTGAAGCTGTCCAGAGCAGGCAGCTGCCCCAGAGGGAAGCCCTGTTCTCTAGTCATGCAAAAGTCACTTCCCTGCTGTCCTACCCAGCTGGCAGCACCTCCAGGCCCAGGAAGGGCATGCATGAAAGGGCAGAGCAGATTAGAAAGGGGGAGAGGGACTTAGGGTGAGCTACGTACGGGGGCTTCTTCCAGCTGGGGCCACCATGGCTTCACTAGAGGTGACCTGGTCCCTCCCTAAAAGGCTTTTGCTCTTAAACAATCTTTCCTCCTGAATTGGCCTGCCAGTCTTCTCAGAGGGACTAAGTTGTTTCCTGTGGACCTGACGAGGTGGGTCAGGATAGAGCACAGACTTTCCATCCATTTCTATATCCTGGGGCTTAGAATGGAGTTGTCTGGGGGAACAGCTATAATTGTATAATGACGGATGAAATACTAGCTCTCTCTTGCAGGATGAAAAGATAGTGAGCTGTTATTGTTATTATTTTGGATTTACAAAAAGAGCACGGTGTAAAGCCCCAGGGCCATTTAGCTAATGGACACATAATTCACCAAGCCTCTCTAATGCGTCATGTTATGGGCATTAGAGCCAGCTCTCTGCTCCTCTCCTAGCCTTGATCTGGCTAATCAGTTGGGGCCAAAGTCAATACAATCTGGACTGCTCCTAACAGTCCAGGATGTTTGCACCAGGCTTCAACTCACCTCTGTCCTTGTGACACTGTCGGGATCCTCAGAGCTTCCTCCACCAGAAAATCTGAATTTGCCAACAATAGGAAGAAGATCTCTGTTCAAAAAGCTAGACCTCTGTTGCTAGGCACTTCTCTGATCTGTAGTCACTGTAGATACTGCAGAGGTATCTGGTCTCCCCACCCTGGGTATTTCCCCCTCAGTAAATAAGAGCCAGCTATGCAGAATTACTTGATCTCTAAAGAGATAAACTTTAAACTTTGTCAATATACTTTGTGCTCAATGCCCAGACTCTCCTTGCCTACTTCCCACCTGGACATTCTGCTCCTTCTTCAAGCCCTTAGTCAAATGTTGCCTCCTCTTTGAGGCCTTTCTTGACTCTTAGTTGGAATTAAATTCTTCTCTCTTGTGGCATCAAAACTGTATGCTGTGTGTCAAGGTTGTGTACATTTCTACCATCCTGTTTGCATAGATGTGCCAGGAGGGGATAAGAGATCATAAGAGATAAGATGCATGAAACCTTTGGCAGAGCTAGAACCATCCAGGTGCTAAAGGAACGTCAGCTCCCTTTGCTCTGCATAGCGCCTTGCTGCAAAGCAGAACTGGTCAGTGGAGTAGCTGCAATGGCTTGACTGGTAGGATCCTCTCTCCTTTCAGATTTTAGTCAAATGCTCATGGAACATGATAAATAAGCCAAAGCAATAAGAAATTGGATAAACTTTTTGTGGGGCATCTGAATTGTTTGTTCTAAGTGGGGGGAGATAGGAATAAGTTCACTTGTGTCACAGTTTAGAGAGGGCTGCTCCAAATTTAATTGCACAAATCAGATGGTATGTTTTGAGTTTCTTGGTTTTGATAATTTGCTCCCCCTGTTGTCCTCATCCTGCCTCTAGGATATCTGAACTGCACGTGCTGATATGAGGATGGAGAAAGTGGATGCGTCTCTCAACACAGTGTGACCCACACATGTGGGTTTTCCTATTTGCTGTAAAGTAACTGAGGCAGAAACTTGAAATATTTTGTTATATATAATTTTAATTATCCTAATATTTGTAATAATGATTTTTGGCCTCCAAATCTAGCTGAGCAATTAGAATATTTTACTGCAAGGACAATTGGTGGCAATTATATACAACCATATATTAATTCTTCAAATAGTTTCGGTCTGATTGTTTATCTTTAGAGAGAACAATGTAAAGGGAAATGAGCTTGGACCATCTGAGGGAGGGTTAATAATAGCCGCTGCCTCCATTCCACCCCCATCAGCACCATTTCATGACCGACTGTTCTCTGCCACTTTCTCTCAGTCATGCAAAAACTCTGTAAAATAATCAATAGTTTCTCCATTTTAAGATAAGGAAAGTATACCCGAAAAGGATGAGTGATCTCAGCACGAGGCTGAAGCGAGTATTTGATGTCAGGTCCATGAGCCTCAGAAGCAGGTCTCCTTCCCACCAGTTCCCACTGGACCTCTCTTGACTGGAAGCCAGGCAGCAAGTGACAGCAGTGAGTGGCATAAGCCCAAGACAGACACCACTTCCGGTGTGTCCAGAGATCTTGCTGCAATTTACAGCAGGCTGGGGCTGTATATTGGAAAGACCCTTCTGATCTTTTGATGTCATGAAAAGAGTTTTCTCTTCCTACCCACTCCCCACTTTGGGTCATTGAAAGACAAATTAGGACAATGGGTGGTGACCCCTATAATTCGAGCCCTGGTTTCTTTCTGTGTCTATGCAGTTGCTCCGAGGGATAGGGGAAAACACACACAGCTACCAACTCAAATCTGTTCACCTTAAGCAAGTTGTTTAGTGTCTCTGAGATTCAGTTTGCTTAAAATAAGGCCCCTTCTCAGGTGGTATAGAATGACAGGATCATTTGTTGAATGGTAGTGCCTGCACTGAGAATAACTAACCCCCTCAGAGTGCTGGTACGAGAACTGAGTGACATGCAGCACCTCAGATGCCTATATGGGATAATCATAGGTGATTGATGGATACGGATGTTGAGCCCTGGGGCAAGTAAGTGATTTGTCCAGGGTTCCTTTTCCTCGGTAAGGAAGTGAATGTGCGTCTCTCCCCCATACTCTGAAATTCAGATCAGAAGGCAGGTGGGAAGGAGAGAGGGCGGCCTGTGCTCAACACCTCCAAGAGGGCAGAAGAGATGAGGACAGGACAGACCACCCTTGGGAAGTGAAAGCTCCAACTTCTCACTTTAGGGTAGACTCCAAGCAGTTTCCATACTTTAAAAGCCCGAAAAGGCAAGAGGCTCTAGCGTATTTCAATAACCCAAATCTTGTATCAGGAGAGAAACAGAAGTAGTTAAACCTTAGCCAACATTTGTCAGTCCCAGAAGCACTTCCAGCATTCGCCTGGGGACTTGGAAGGAGGCTGCTGGATGGGGGTGGGTGATTGATGTGTATAATATTCTGTAGCAACTCTGGGCTGGGGCTTTATCGCATTAACTCCAAAGCCTGAAGTGTGATGCATTGATTCAATTCACTTCACAGGGTGGATGGGACACCTCTCCCCAGATGCATCTACAGGCCAGGAGGGGATCATGAGGCAGGATGCAGGGCAGTGGGGAGTGGCTGGGGACTTGGGCTGGACTGTTGCCATCTGTGCTTCCATAGTTCACCTGGGACTAGAGGCCCATAAAACAGGTGGACTTTTCTATAAAAAATAGTCTCTTCACCTCGTCAGAGCTGTAATTTTCATTTAAGATGCAGTAAGTGAGGCAGTTGGAGAATAAGTAGTGCCATGGATTTCTGGAAACTCATTTTTGTTTAAAACTTATTTTCTTTCATGCTTCTTGCTTGTTTTTCTTTGGAATTTTGAAGTTGTTAAAATCTGCTTATTTATTGTTTTTAAAACCTTAGGCTCAGTCAGACAAAGGGGATTTGGATTAGTGGAGAGAACATTTCATTAGAAGCTCAGAGTCAAATGAGCTCTGTGACCCTGGGTAATGGAGTCTTTTCATAGAAGTTTTGGCCCCTTGTTATATGAGGGACTCTTACCAGGTGCCATGGAAGAAGCCAAGATGGACACAACCTCTTTCTGTGAGGTTATCTGAAAATTGAGAATCACCGGATATGCCCAACATCCTCCGTCAGGGTGTAGTAAGGATCAGGGTGAAAGCGTTCAGCACAGTGGTTGGCATACAAGGTGCTGAGCACAGCTGGCAATGACATTGAAACTGACTTCAATTTCTTCTGTCTCAAGTATGAAGTGTTTCAGTGACAAAAGAGTCATCAATTCTCAGCCCTGCAACAAAAAATCTTCTAATGACCACATGGAATTTGTTATTTGTTAACTTGTCTTCTAGAAGAGTGAATTAATGAAAAAGGGCCAGAGAGAGAGAATTATGAAGCACTTGACTTTAAAAAAAAAAAAAGGTACGTTTTAAATGTAGGTGCCATTGCTACTAGGATTGTTTGCAGCTGATGGGCAGAGCTCAAGTCCATTCTGAGGAGTAATAATCAGGGAGAAGCTGATGGGAAGTATATGATGGGTTCACATGGAATAGCGTGGCATCCAAAGAGGACACGGGTTGTATCAGGGAGTTGTTAAAGTTTCAGGATCTTCTGTCTTTAGTCTCCAGACAGCACTTTGGTGATGAAATGGCAGGCATAGGCTCCACCCAGTAGCCCAGACTGGGTGAGAAACTTCTTTTTTCTCTGCCCCTTGGAGGCTGTGTGACCACCAGTCCCTTAGCTTCAGTGAGCCTCAGTATCCTCTAAAATAAGAATAATAAAACCTCCTTCCAGAGCAACCTAGAGAATAAATAAGAATAAAAGCACAGCAGAGCGTCATTCCTGCTACAGAGTGAGGAGCTGGAGAGGGGTCAAGAGGGCAGGGGTTTCCCAGTGGAAACCCCAAGGACTGATGTCCTCACCTCTGGAACCCGGAAGACCACCAGGAGTACTGGGAAGGGAGGTCCAGACCCACTGGGGGGAGGCAGAAGGACCGAAGCTGGTTGGACAAAGAGAGAAATAGGCCATGCAACCGTGTCTCTGTATCCTGCCAGCTTCCAGCCTGTCACCTGGCTGGCATGCCTCACAACTTCATAAATTATCAAAGGGCACTGAATCATAGAGATCATAGCGAATGGTTTCTTTGTGCTAATTTTATTTCCCAGCACAGTCCAGCTTGACTCTCCATCTGTTTTCAGCGTGACCCTGATCTCTACCTAATTTCTCACTTGGATGCTAGAGGCAGAGTGAGGTTAAGTGAATTGCTCATGAGCCCTTGGTGTGGTTACTTTTTATAGGGGTGAAATCTCGGTGTCTGCATCAGAGCCTCCCCCATAGTAATCCTTTAGCAAGGTTCAGGAGAAACCGTGAGGTTTGGAGACGGGCAGATTTAGTATTGAATTCCCCCTCTGAATGAAAAAACTACTTGCCTATCCTAAGTCTGTTTCTCCACCTATCAGATGGATTAGGGGACACCTCACCACTAGGCCCCTGAGAGGCAGACAGCAGATGTGATTAGTTCTTAGCTATGCCTCACACACCATCAGGACTCAATACGAAGGGCTGTTTTTTGTTTTGTTTTGTTTTTGTCATCACCACATAGAACCTAGTAATTGGCAAACTCTTCATGGACTTGATTCCACAGTTCAACCAGTAAGATTTCAAAATCCCAGAGACCATTAATCCAGGGCCTGAACTAGCATCTTCCCCAAACTGCAGATGTCAGGGTGAGGTTCAGACAGGAAAAGAGGTACATTGTTCTAAAGCCTGTGGGTGGAATGTCCACATTCCTTACCCTCCTCACACATTGAGTTCCCCAAGCAGGAGAATGGAAACATTCTTTCAACAAATATACAAAAATGGACTTTGACCTCAGGGTCACTAGGCTCAGTGGAGCACAGTGGGGGTGATACATGGGCTGAAAACAGGGGGCTACATGAAATCTATATAATGAATAGTAAGGCCCCACCCTTTATCCATCCTGCTGGGAACATCTGTGGCCTGGTATATGCCCTCCAGAAAGGAGCTGGACTTGTCCTCTCTGGAGAAACTGAACAGATGCCAAGAACAGTCCTTGAGAGGCTGGCATTGAGATACCTTCAGTGAAGTGGCTGCCTTTGCCTCTGATCCTCCCGACATAGGGACATTCCCAGGCAGTAAGACAGCAAGATGACCTCTCACCTGAAAATCCCTCCACTCTTCCGCCCCCTCACACTCAGCATCACACACCTCTATATTGTCTTCAATATGCCCTGGTTCTTCAGGAAAGCTTGCTATCCTCCTCTGTTTTGTCCCTTATCCTCAAACTCCATCACTCTCATCCAAAAAACTATTCTCATTTGGTCTCTTTAATAGAAGCCACCAGAGGAACACCTTCCTCTCCCTTCTCCCCCAGATCTAGATTCACACCTACATCTGTACCAACTTCTTACCACTGCTAGAGTGGACAGGGTATCTTTCCTCCTGCACAGTTAGTTCCTCCCCTCCTGCCCTAGGTCCTCTCCTTTCTCACCTCCTCACCAGGACTTGGCTCCTACACTGATCTCTCTCAGCACACCCACAACCTCTCTCTGCTCTCAGTCATTCCCACCAACAAGTGCTTTCCACCTTGAAATGCCATCCAGTCCCTCTCCCGCCCCTTACCAGCCACTGTCCCATCTCTGCTCCCCTTCACTTCAAAACTTATCAGATATGTTGGACACACTCACCATGTCCTTACCTTACCTCCCACTTACTCTTTTCAACCTATTTATTTAAAGTCTCTTTGGGTTATTCCCTTTTTTGTTATGGCCATTTGTATTCCAAAATTGAGGTTCATTTTGGTAGATAGCTGTTTGGTTTTAACAGGAGACAGGTGGTCAGCGGGGGTTGTTGTCAAGGATGGTTCTTGTGCTAGAGTTACGAAGTTGTCTCCATTCCCTCTGCTCGGGCCCTTGGATCTCACTGGTTCTGAACTGGTTTAGGTATTAATTTCTTGTCTGGGTTTCTGCACATCACCACATTTGTGTGGGGTGCCACAGACTAG